CCCCAAAACCCCAAAACCCCAAAACCCCAAAACCCCAAAACCCCGGAAGGAGTCTTCTGAGTAGAAAATTATAACTTTTTATTAAATTCCTTGGTAAACATGGGAAACTGATGCACCTCTAAGGATAAGACTGAGGGGGGATATGCCTCTAATCCTCCGGTCATGAACAGGAGAAGTCAGGTTAAGAAGATTGTAACAACCACACAAGATACTAGTGATAGTCAGTCAGGCTCCTCTAGTGATTTCTCGCCTGACAAACCTGTTGACAAAAGAAGCTCTACTTATAAAGCAGCAAGCCTTGAATCCTTTAACACTCTAAAGGTTATTGGGAGAGGTTCTTACGGAAAGGTATTCATGGTAGAGGAGAAGTCCACAGGAAAGATCTACGCCATGAAAGTGCTCAAGAAAGGGGCTATTACTGATGAAAGAGGCAAAGAGAGAGTTCTGACCGAGAGAGATATCATCATGCAGATTCGGCACCCATATATAGTCACTTTGCACTATTCTTTTCAGACCAAGACTAAGCTATTCTTCATACTTGATTTCCTTAATGGAGGAGATCTCTATACTCATATTATGAGTTATGGGAAGTTCAAAGAAAACAGAGCTAAGTTTTACACTGCAGAATTAGTCTTAGCTATTAACCATCTTCATAAGAAAGGGATTGTCTATCGAGATCTGAAACCTCAAAATATAATGCTTGACAATGAAGGCCACATCAAATTAACAGATTTTGGTCTCTCCAAAGCTGATTTCGATCAGGATCAGAGCCACACTATTTGTGGAACTATCAAATACATCGCTCCTGAGACGATCTCAGGAATGAGCTACAACCACACTGTTGATTGGTGGTCTTTAGGTATCATTCTGTACAGAATGTTAACAGGGAAACTACCATATCCAACAAACAAGAACAGTGAAGTGAGAGTATTCATAGTCCACAACAAAATTCAAGTTTCAAAGAAGAGGGTAAGCGCATGTCACAAACTTATTCTAATCTATTTTCTAGATTCCCGATGAAGTTACAAGAAGTTTCATACTTGGACTACTAGAGAAAGATCCATCAGAGAGGCTTGGCTCCTGTGGAGTCGAAGATATTAAGAACCATGAGTATTTTGGAGACATCGACTGGGATGCCCTTGAGAGGAGAGAAGTAAAGCCTCCATATAATCCAAGACTTAAATCTGACAAGGATGTCAAACATATTGACCAAAAATATTTAGATCAAAATGTTGTTAGCTGAACGATGGATGACACAGACCTTAAGAATGGAAACATGAACAATCAAGTGTTTGAAGATTTCACTTATACTAAGGAAGATCCAATGAACCAACCTGGTAGGCAGACCGAATATTAAAGATAAGATTCCTTGAAATCTTGGGTCATTCTCTTTTAAAGCATAATAAATTAATGTAAAAAAACAGGTCTCACTGTTAGCAGTCTTTATTCTTGTATCTCCTAGCTTGTCAATATTCGACCAAGAAATAGTTTAAATTATTGTCGTATAAAATTGGAGAAAAAGTTGGAGAATTTCTTATTCAAAGCTCAATACTATAACCCCTACTTGGGGTTTTGGGGTTTTGGGGTTTTGGGGTTTTGGGG